CTTGAGGCCCAAGGAAGAACACCTTAAGACCATTCGGTGGTTGCTCCCACCCATTCTGTAGCCTGAGCAGTGGGAACTGCAGACCAGTCTTCCGTGGCAGGCTGAGCGCTCCAGAAGTTCCAGTAGGGAACTTCTGAGCGGGCACAGAGGGCACCTGCACACCGTCAGACCAGTCTGCAACCTCAGGCTGAGTAGCAGTGAACTCAGGAGCTGGAGCAGTCCATTCGCCCTGAAATTCCTCCTTGGTCACAGCCTTTTCAGCCGCAGTCTGCTCTTCTTTTTCAATCTCTTCAGGATCTCTGTAGAAGCAGCGATCAGGCATGACCTCCCACAGGGTTTCACAGGAAATGGTGCCATGCGTGCATAGAACTTCCCAAGCCAGCATCCGCCACATCAAACCCGAGTGAGCTCCCTTGTTGTGGCATGGGATGGCAACGTCCACATAGTGCAGAGGAGAATCTGTGTTACACAGAGCAATGGTAGGCAGGTTAACATAAGATGCCTCCATGAGAAGCTGGTGGTCAGCCCTTGGGTCAGTAACCACAAGAAGCCGTGGGTCCCAGAAGGCTGCCTGGATCTGGTTAGTGAAGATTCCAGGAGTGAAGCGGCAGCAATCAGAGCGGCTTCAGTGGAGCAGCAAACTTCGGCACGGCCCTCTGGCCAGTATTCCTGGAGGATATGACGCTGACATCAGCAGGGTTTTCAATGGCAACAGTGGCACGAGCGGCCAGCAGAAGCTTCTCCCAGGTCCTCTTCAGATTTGTGATGTAGATACTGTTCCACCTGGAAGTCAACGTTGGTGCCACCTAAGTGAATTCCTGCTGCCGGGAACTTAAGGACATCCTCCTCCATTTGCAGCACATCAAGGGCACCTGACATTTGAAAGTTACGATGGGAATAGAGAACAAAGCCATATAGACCCCTCTGTGGGTAGTGCGGAAAGCAGGAGGGGGTCTTTAGGTAGTTCTTTTATTTATGTATGTATGTATTTGTTTATTTATTTGAGGCAGAATGGCGCGATCTTGGCTCGCTGCAACCTCTGCCTTCCTGGTTCAAGCAATTCTCCTGCCTCAGCCTCCCGAGTAGCTGGGATTAGTAGAGACAGGATTTTTCCAACCATCCTTTTCTTGGGGTTGCGCTACTGCCCAATGAGCACATGGTGAGCGCAGTACTGCGAACGCCTAAACAACACACTCGCATCAACTAAAGCTTTGCCTGACATTGGTGCAATTTTTGGAAAAAATGAAAACCCTTTAAAAAAATAAAAAATAGGCCGGGCGCGGTGGCTCACGCCTGTAATCCCAGCACTTTGGGGGGCTGAGGCGGGTGGATCACGAGGTCAAGAGATCGAGACCATCCCGGTCAACATGGGGAAACCCTATCTCTACTAAAAATACAAAAAATCAGCTGGGAATGGTGGCGCGTGCCTGTAATCCCACCTACTCAGGAGGCTGAGGCAGGAGAATTGCCTGAACCCAGGAGGCGGAGGTTGCAGTGAGCCGAGATCGCGCCATTGTACTCCAGCCTGGGTAACAAGAGCGAAACTCCATCTCAAAAAAATAATAATAAAATAAAATAAAAAATAAAAAATATTTTAAAAAAGAGACAGGATTTCTCCATGTTGGTCAGGCTGATCTCAAACTCACGATCTCAGGTGATCCGCCCACCTCAGCCTCCCACAGTGCTGAGATTACACGCGTGAGTCACCACTCCCGGCTGGCATCAGCTCTTTATATACCCCAGAAGTCACTTCAGGTAGAGGTTAAGAGCCTTCTAACAGTGAGGAAAGATGTGGCAATAATGAACACCCACCTCTTTGCACCTCTCTGATCAGAAGCAGCAATTAGGAAGCAGAGCACTGATCCTCGATATTTGGAAGACAAGGTCCTTTTTTGCCCAACCTGGACCCCAGAACATGCATGCAAGCTGCTGCTGGGACTCAGCTGCCTGCCATGAAGCTGGAAGCATGGAATGGGTACTACTACTGAACTAAGAGTTGAAATGGACTGAAATTAACCACAATTTATCACCTATTTTTTTCTTTGGAAGTTGCAAGGTTTTGATAGACTCCACAGTTCCAAAATAGCTACATCAGATCCTGCTAGCAGAATCATTTTCTAGGTGAGAAGACAGATTTTCTTTTTTTTTCTTTCTTTCATTTCTTCCTTCCTTCCTTCCTTTTTTTCCTTCTTTCCTTTCTTCCTTTTTTTCTTTTTTGCTGGAGTTTCATTCTTGTCACCTTGGCTGGAGTCCAATGGTGCGATTTCGGCTCACTGCAACCTCTGCCTCCTGGGTTCAAGTGATTCTTCTGCCTCAGCCTCCCAAGTAACTAGGATTACAGGCATGTGTCACTATGCCCAGCCAATTTTTTTTTTTGAGATAGGCTCTCATTCTGTCTCCTGGACTGGAATGCAGTGGTGCAATCTTGGCTCACTGTAACCTCCACCTCCCAGGTTCAAGCGATTCTCCTGCCTCAGCCTCCTCAGTAGCTGGGATTACAGGCACGTGCCACCATGCCCAGCTATTTTTTTGTATTTTTAGTAGAGACAAGGTTTCACCATGTTAACCAGGCTGGTATTCAACTCCTGACCTCAAGTGATCCATCTGCCTTGGCTTCCCAAAGTCCTGAGAATGCAGATGTGAGCCACCACGCCTGGCCCAATTTTGTATTTTTAGTAGAGACAGTGTTTAACCATGTCAGTGAGGCTGGTCTCAAATTCCTAAACTTAGGTGATCCACCTGCCTCAGCCTTCCAAAGTGCTGGGATTATAGGTGCGAACCACTGCACCTGGCCTTTTTTTTTTTTTTTTTTTTTTTTTTTGAGAGTTTCACTCTGCCTCCCAGGTGCAAGTGTATTGACTTCATCATGGCTCGCTGCCTCACTGCACCTTGACCTCCAAGGCTCAAGAGATCCTCCTGCCCCAACCTTCTGAGTAGCTGGGACCACAGCTGCATGCCACCACACCTGACTAATTTTTGTATTTTTTTGTAGAGATGGGATTGGAGGGTCTCACTGTGTTGCCCAGACTGGTCTCAGATTTCTAGGTTCAAACAATCTTCTTGTCTTGGCCTCCCAAAGTGCTAGGACTGCAGGCATGAGGCACTGGGCTCAGCCCCTGGCTAATTTTCATATTTTTTAAATAGAGATGGTGGGAAGTCTCACTATGTTGCCCAGGCTGGTCTCAAACTCCTGGGCTTAAGTGATCCTCCTGCCTTGACCTCCTAAAGCACTGGGATTACAGGCATGAGCCACCGTGCTGGGTCACAAATTCTTTATGATTTGTATTCTGCCAATTTCCCTGAATCCTCTTACTTTTTTTTTTTTTTTTTTTTTTTGAGACAGAGTTTTGTTCTTTCACCCAGGCTGGAGTGCAGTGGTGCAATCTCAGCTCACTGCAACCTCCACCTCTGGGGTTCAAGAGATTCTCCTGCCTCAGCCTCCTGAGTAGCTGGGACTACAGGCATGTGCCACCACATCCAACTAATTTTTTTCTATTTTTAAAGTAGAGATGGGATTTCACCATGTTGGTCAGGATGGTCTTGATCTTCTGACCTCATGTTCCACCCAACTCGGCCTCCCAAAGTGCTGGGATTACAGGCGTGAGCCACCGCGCCCGACCTAACCTGCTTTTTGATACTAATACATTACTTTGGGTGTCATCCCACATCACTTCCTCAGAGAGCATCCTTCCTCTCACCTCAGTTACTTTTACTTTTTTTCCTGTGTAGATGTTTTTTCAGGGAATGGAGGGTATTAGAGGAATCCTTGGCATACCTCGTCCCAAATCCCCACTTCCTGGAGAACATTAGGCTGTCTCTCCTGTTCCTGTCCTCCCTGGCCTAATCTGGGCTCCCTCCTGTTCTGAGGCAAGGTGATTGCTCCATTTCACAGTAAGTGTGGAATTCCCTGCACACGCTGGTGACCTTGTGTCCAAGAGGACTTAGAAGGAAGAGCTCATCGAGTGCCAGAAGATGACAGTGCCTGCTCTGGCAAGTTAGAAGGAAGCTCTGCATTAAATGCAAATATTGGCTGGACATGGTGGCTCACGTCTGTAATCCCAGCACTTGGGGAGGCTGAGGCAGGAGGATCACTTGAGCCCAGGAATTCAAGACCAGCCTGGTCAACATAGTGACACACTGACTCTGTGTGTGCTTGTGCATGTGCTTGCGCTCGTGCACGCACACACACACGCAGAACAACAACAACAACAATAACAAAATTAGCAGGGTGTGGTGGGGCCTAGGGAGGCTGAGGCAGGAGGATTCCTTGAGCCTGGGAGGTTGAGCTGGAGTGAGAGGAGATCGTGCAACTGCACTCCAGCCTGGGTGACAGAGCAAGACCCTGGGGAAAAAAAGAAAGAAAGGGAGAAAGGGAGGAAGGGAAGAAGGGAGGAGGGAGGAAGGAAGGAAGGGAGGAAGGGAGGAAGGGAGGACGGGAGGAAGGGAGAAGGGAAAGGAAAGAAAGAAAATAAAAGAAAGAAAAAGAAAACAAAAACAAGACCAGTCGCCATGGCTCACGCTTGTACTCCCGATGCTTTGGGAGGCTGAGGCAGGCAGATCACTTGCGGTCAGGAGTTCGAGAGCAGCCTGGGTAACATGGCGAAACCCCTCTACCAAAAATACAAAAAAGTACAAAAATGCCGGACGTGGTGGCGGGTGCTTGTAATACCAGCTACTCGGGAGGCTGAGGCACGAGAATCAATGGAACCCAGGAGGAGGTAGAAATTGCAGTGAGCTGGGATCGCGCCACTACACTGCAGCCTGGGCGGCAAGAGAGAAACTGTCTCAAAAAAAAAAAAAAAAAAAAAACAAGAAAGAAAGAAAAGAAAACGAAATCAAACAAACAAAACCCCAAATATACCTTGGGATGGGGGGCAGTGGCTAGAGCCAGTCAACACTGCTCCGCACAGCCGCGTTTCCATGGCTGCCCACGTCACTCAGGCCCCAGGGGGCGGGGCATAATAGCTTATCCAATCAGAGGCGCCGGGCGCTGCCAACGGTTCTTTCAGACGCGCCGGGGAGAGGAGGGCAGGGCCTGCGCCTCCTCACAGAGCCTTTGTTTGTGACGTCCGCCCCCGCCCGGGCTCGCGTCTCCGTTTCTCGGAGAGGCCGTAGGTGTCTCCGCCGCAGTCTGTGTCGCTCCGTGACCTGTACAGATAGCGGGAGCCGCAGGGAGGACGCCGGGACACCTGGAAGGCGAGAATGGTGCGTGTGAGGGACCAGATGTCCCCAGGCCGGGGGGAGGGGCTGGCCGGAACCGGCCGGAACCGGCCGGAACCGGCCGTGGAGGGACCCAGGCATCCCTGCGGCCACTCCCGGGTCTGGGGCCCGCATCTCCCGGCGCATCTGGGCTCTCGGTCCCCTCGGCCGCAGGGTGGGGCTGGCCGGGGCCGGAAGCCGGGACCCCGGGCGTCTGGTCCCGTCCCTGCGCGACGCCGCCCCCGCAGCCCAGCGTCTCCTCAGGTTGTGCGGGGGCCGCGGGAGGATCCTGAGGGCAGTCCCGCCTCAGGTGGGGGATTCGTGTGGCAGGAGCTGCGGTCTGTGGGCGCCTCCCTCTCCAGTCCCGCCTTTCTCCCGTTCAGCATGAAGAGTTTATTTGAGTTTATGATGTAAGGTTCATCGATGGAGGGGCTCCGGGTCGTGGCTTGGGAGTTCCCTTGGAGGGGCTGGAACGGAAGGCTGGAAGGTGCAAATTCAGTACTTGGTTGGTGACAGTTACGTAGCCGCCTTTTTTGCTCTTATCAAGGTGGAAATGTTCTGCTGGTGTAGTCAGGCGGGTTGGTGGTCGTGGTTTATTAACCCTAAATTGTATTTCCCTATAAATCGGTGGTTTATAAGAATTCCCGCCGGGCGCGGTGGCTCACGCCTGTAATCCCAGCACTTTGGGAGGCTGAGGCGGGCGGATGAGGAGGTCGGGAATTGGAGACAAGCCTGGCCAACGTGGTGAAAGCCCGTTTCAACTAAATACAAACAACTTTAGCCGGGCATGGTGGCGCGTGCCTGTAGTCCCAGCTACTTGGGAGGCTGAGACAGGAGAATCATTTGAACCCAGGAGGTGGAGGTTGCGGTGAGCCGAGATCGCGCCATTGCACTCCAGCCTGGGCAACAAGAGCAAAACTCCGTCTAAAAAAAAAAAAAATACAAAATCAGCTGGGTGTAGTGGCGGGCACCTGTAATCGGGGTTACTTGGGAGGTTGAGGCAGAAGAATCTCTCGAACGTGGGAGGTGGAGGTTGCAGTGAGCCGAGATTGCGCCACTGCACTCCAGCCTGAGCAACAGAGCAAGACTCCTGTCTCAAAAAAACAAGAAATTTCATTTGAGGCTGGGGCATGGTGGCTCACACCTGTAATCCCAGCATTTTGGGAGGCTGAGAGAGGAGGATTGCTTGGGCCCAGGAGTTGAAGACCAGCCTTGCAACATAGCGAGACCCCATCTCTGTTAATTTTTTTTAATGAACACATTCAGACTAAGACCAAAAAACTACTAAAAATTTTTAAAATATAAAATAAAAACAATTTCATTTGAGTTGAATTTTTGTTTTTTGGGGTAGGAAACCAGGACACCACCACCACAGCCTTCTAATTGCCTCCTAATTATTTTAACTGTCCCTAGGGGAACAGGGTCCCAAACCCTTGACCTTGTTCCCCTGGCCTAACTTCTCTAGGGCTTGCAAATAACCCTTGATTCCATATTCTTCTTTCACCATACTCCCAAACGCTAACTCCAGTCACAGCATTATCAAGTCTTGGTCCTTTGTTGCACATTTCAAACAAAAATTAATTTTTATCATTTTTTTCCAGGAGGAATTGGTCTTTTAAAAATATTTGTTTTTCTGTTTCTGAACATTTCACCAGAGAGGAGAGCAGAGAATACATGTATGAGACCCTGCTGTAAAAATACCTTTGTGCCTCTTTTCTCTCTCCTAGGCACAGGGATCTTCTCAGAATGTCTTTTGGTTGGCCTGGTGCCATGGCTCACATCTGTAATCCCAGCACTTTAGGAGGCCAAGGCGGGAGGATCGCCTGAGGCCAGGAGTTTGAGACCAGCCTGGGCAACATAGTGAGACCTGGTCCCTAAAAAACAAAAAACAAAAAGCAATGTCTTTGGGTTGGGGTTTCCCTTTGGAAACTTTAAACTGTGATAAACTGTGATGGGTCTTCCTCTCCTAATCCTGGGTTTCAGGACTGTTTGGGCTGACAAAAGATGCTCATAGCAGCCAGCTGTCTTGAAGGGTCTGGTGAATATCAGCCCGCTGAGTCTCCTCCCACTGGACAGCCTGAAGTGTGGGGTGGGGCCTCTTAGAGGAGCAGCTGGGTGTCCTGGGGTGGGAGGAGTCTCTTGATAGCCCCTCCCTCTAAAAGATCACCCCGGGACGTTCCGCTTTTCTTCCCCTAATTCCGATGCCATTGGGAGACACATTGGTGTCCAGCCAAATAGATGATGGTATTGAGGGGAAAGACAGATAACAATTCTTGCCCTCTGGATTCTTTTAGACTAGTGAAGTGAGAAAAGTGTCCCAGGACAGGAAAACTTATCCCATTGAAGTGACGAAAGAACCTGAAAAGCAAAATGTACTTCAGGCCGACAGGGGGGCACAATGCAATGTCTCCTGGAAGGGTGGTCACTGAGCCCTTCGGTGAGCAGGTTAGGGGGTGGGGAATATCCAGGTTATAGAATGGCCTGACCTAGACCAGGCATGGTGGCTCACACCTGTAATCTTAGCACTTTGGGAGACTGAGGCAGGTGGATCACTTGAGGCCACAAGTTCAAGACCAGCCTGGCCAACATAGCGAAACCCCGTCTCTACTAAAAATACAAAAATAAGCTGGGCAGGGTGGCAGGTGCCTCTAATTTCAGCTACTGGGGAAACTGAGACATGAGAATCACTTGAACCTGGGAGGTGGAGATTGTAGTGAGCGGAGATCACGCCACTGCACCCCAGCCTGGGTGAAGACTCTGTCTAAAAAAAAAAAAAAAAAATGACCTGAAACTTGAGTCAGACATAACCTCTGTCCCAGGTTAGCATAGCCCTTTCCTGGGTTTGTCCCTGCAAAAGATTTGTTCATTTATTGTAGTCAGGTTTTTTTTGTTTGCTTTTTTTTTCAGATGGAGTTCTGCTCTTGTTGCCCAGGCTGGAGTGCAATGGTGCAATCTTGGCTCACTGCAGCCTTTGCCTCCTGGGTTCAAGCAATTCTCCTGCTTCAGCCTCCCGAGTAGCTGGGATTACAGGCATGCGTCACCTTGCCCACCTAATTTTGTACTTTTAGTAGAGACAGGGTTTCTCCATGTTGGTCAGGCTGGTCTCAAAAGTCCTGACCTTGGGTGATCTGCCCACTTCGGCTTCCCAAAGTGCTGGGATTACAGGGATGAGCCATTGTACCCGGCCAGTTTTTTCTTTTTCTTTTTTTAATAATTATAAATGTATTTCATCAGTAGAGCTTGAAATATAAGACAGTTTTCCAGAGGCAAGAAGGAAGTAGATTTCAGAATTAACTATCTAGTCTTATGTTTGTTAAAAACTATTACCCATTTTTTTCCCCAAAGCAAGTGTAGTAAGTTTCTCAAATATGTTATTATTATTATTTTTTGGTGGAGGGTGATTTCAAATGGAATTCCAGGGCTTAGCATTGGGAATACTACTAAGGAAAAGAAATAAAAATTCTCTTTCATCATGACTGCCAAAAAATGAATACATTTCCACAAGTAAATACAGCAGATAATGGTGAATTACAGAGATTCACCAAAACTTCAATACTTCTGCTTTGCAGGGTGACACACTTGTGACAGTGGATAACTGTGTTCTCTTCCTGTTATCCAGACAGAGTTTAATGCGAAGTCCTAATAGGATATGGCTTGGCAACTTCTCTAAGTGTTCAAATACAATTTAGTACGTGATTTGTTGCCATGGAAAGAATAAATAACATGTTTAGCCAGGCATGGTGGATCACACCTGTAATCCAAGCACTTTGGAGGCCAAGGCACGTGGATCACCTGAGGTCGGGAGTTCAAGACCAGCCTGACCAACATGGTGAAACCCCGTCTTAAAAAAAAAAAAAAAAAAGAAAGAAAAAAAATGTAAAAATTAGCTGGGCATTGTGGCGCACGCCTGTAGTCCCAGCTACTCTGGAGGCTGAGGCAGGAGAATTGCTTGAACTGGGGAGGTGGAGGTTGCAGTGAACCAAGATCATGCCACTGCACTCCAGCCTGGTGACAGAGCAAGACTCTTGTCTCAAAAAAAAAAACAAAACCAAAACCATGTTTATTGTCTGAAGAAGATGGATACTTTTTTTGTTGAGGTATGAAATATAAGTGCCTTGCAATTTCCTTCCCTGACATAAACAGTGAATTTGAGTGATTTTGCTGGATTCTTCAAACCCTGGGTATTTTCTCATTGCAATTTAAGTGTATAACCTTAATTGGGACTGGGAAACAGAGACAGGAGACTAGTGACTTCAAACTAAGGCCAATCTTGAGCCTTCGAAGAGAGGACATTATAGGCCCAGTTGTTCTTGTTGGGAAGCTTCACCTGCAGTGTCCCAGCTGCTCACAACTGACCTTGGGAGGAGCCCTTTATGCTGAGAGAAGCTCAGAGCCATGGAAAACTGGGGATTCACAGGCAGAGGTGGTTGGGGTGATGCTCTTCTGAGAATGTACTTGCTATTATCTTGGGTGTGTTTCTAGACATTTCTAATGAAACAAATCTGGATTTAAGTAAGAAGTGATTTGTTCGTTTGTTTGTTTGTGACAGTGTCTCACTCTGTCGGAGTGCAGTAGTGCGAGCATAGCTACATAGCCTTGATCTCCTGGGCTCAAGGAATTCTCTCACCTCAGCTTTCCACGTAGCTAGGACTACAGGCACGTGTCATGATGTCTGGCTTATATTTAAAAAAAAAAATTTTTTTTAATAGAGACAGGATGTTGTTATGTTGCCCAGGCTGGTCTCTAACTCCTGGCCTCAAGCAGTCTTCCCACCTTAACCTCCCAAAGTACCAGGATTACAGAGGGGAGGGGGCACCACCACACAAGACAGGAATGACTTTATTCTAAAGGAAAACTGAAAGGGGAGAAGGCACCAAGTATAAAATCTGGAAGCATCTCAAAGCTTAGGCAGAAAAGGATTTTCTTTCATAGGGAGGAGGAAACAATGAGAAAGAAGGTGGGAGGTGGAAATCAGGATGCAGGGTGCAAAATCAGACCTAGATTCT